TTTTAGCTCAGTACTTGGTACATTGTTGTTGTTAAGTGCCATCAAGTCAGTTCCTACACATAGCAACACTTTGTAGGGTTTCCGAGGAGTGGTTGGTGAATTTGAACCACCAACCTTGTGGTTCAATGATTTTGCAGTCCAACGCATTAACCCACAGCGCCACACAAGGACTCCACTTAGTTCATAGTATATGCTTAATAAATATTTGTTGAATGAATGAATCAGTGTTTTCTGAAGAGGTCTTATGTGCAAAGCTCTGGGTGAGGTATTATGGGGAAAGTAAAGATGAAGACATAATCTCTGTCTTCTAAAGGTCCCAATCCAACCTGCATGTAGGAAACAGGCACAGCCATAATTAGTCATCTCTGTGTGTTAGCCATCAGTATATATTAAAGGAGCATACAAAGAATAGACTGGTCTATTTTACAGTTTATGTATTATTTCATTTAAGTTGGGGAAAGATAGGCGGGTGTTAAGAGATGTGGAAAGCCTTGGAGGAAATGGGATTTGAACTTGGTTTTACAGGGTGGGTAATAATTGCAGGTAAATTTTCTGAATATGAACTACGCGTCAGGCACTGTTCTAAGCACTCTGCTTGCATAAACTTCCCTAATCTTCACCCATGTTTTGTGGTAGGTACTATCATTGTACAGAAGAGGAAAGTGAAGCATAGAAAGTTAAAGGAACTCACTCAGGGTCACATAGTAAGTAAAAGATGGAGTCATGTGGCTTTTCTGGAGGCCCTGCTCTTGTCTTCTGGCACTTCACTTTTACAAAAGACCTACATTAGTATCTGGTTTTGCTAACATAAAGAAATCCAAAGAAGATTTTTGTATTTATGAAAAAAGTAAAACTAGCACCCACTATTTGTTTTGCATCAAGTTGAGCTGTTGAAAAGAGGCAGTTTGAACCCTGAGCAGCAAGAGTACCATTGCTTTCTTGAAAGAAAGACCTGCAGGAAAAACAAAAACAAAAATGGCAGTCTATTTGTCTATTACAAGAACAAGCAAGTTGTTCGCCAGGAAGCCATCAAAACAAGCAATCAAGTCCCTTCAGGACAAACACCCTTCCAAGACTGAAACTCAAAGGGCTCACATGAGCAGGCATGTAAGCTTGCTGGCAATTGCGTTGGTCTACATGTGAGTGGTATTGTTGTGGTTACAAATCAGGCTGTAAACAGCAAGGTCAACAGTTAGAAACTACCAGCCGCTCCGTGGGAGAAAGATGAGGCTTTCTGCTCCTGTAAAGATTTACAACCTTGGAAACCCATACCAGGTTGCTATGGGTCAGAACCAACTTGATGGCACTTAACAACAACATGTGAGTGGAAGTGGGAAAGGCAGCAATGAAGATATGGGCTGAGTCAATAGATTCCTGGTAGGTCCAAAGTCTGGGGAGACTTGGGAACTCCTGAGCCCATGGACAATGACCTAGCCACGGAGGATGAGAGCTGAGAGTGAAGTGCCTAGCTTATATGAAGTGGGGAGAGATGCACAAGAATGCCCAAACTTGCAAAGAGTAGCCATTTGACCTAGCTTCGTGGCTTGATGACCAGAGCTCGACTAGAGGAAGATAAAGAAATTTGATAAAGGAAGCAGGAGTAAGTTGCTACAATTTAATGAACTTGACCTATACTTATGGATGTGTTGTTGTTAAGTGCCGTCGAGTTGATTCCAACCCATAGCGATCCTGTATAGGGTTTCCAAGGAGCAGCTGGTGAGCTTGAACCACTGACTTCTCAGTTCAAATGACTTTGCTGTCTGATGCATTAGCCCACAGCACCATACCAGGACTCCACACTTATGAATGTAGTAGCTCAAAATACCAACTGAGAGGGAAGGAGTCTTCACATCAAGGATCAAACCTATCTCCTCTATATATAGGGCTGATGGTGGTGGTGGTGGCTGTGTGCTGTGGAGTCAGTTCTGACTCATAGCGACCCTGTACAGGGTTTCTGAAGCTGTAAATCTTTATGGGAGCAGAACGCCTCATCTTTCTCCTGCGGAACAGTTGGTAGTTTCCAACTGCTGACCTTGCGGTTCGCAGCCTGATTCATAACCACTACGCTACCAGAGCTCCTTAGGGCTGATAGGGACGGGCAACTTAGACATTGGCTACCTAAAATGGGGGGTGGCGTGGGGGCTATAATGGTACGAAGTGACTGGCTTACAAGTTTTCAAGAAGGAGTTTAGTTTCAGAGTATGCGGAGGAAGGTAGAATCCCCACTGAACAGTTTTCATGTTCTCTAGATGGGTCTGGTGCATGGAGAGGGGGTAAGATTCATTTGATTCAATTGTTATCATGACTAATTGCGATTGTCACAACCATAAAGGTAGTAGTTGTGTAACAAAAAGTGGGGTATAGTTAATCTTACATTCCAGGAACAGAAGATCCTAGGACCATCAAGAAAGAAGAACATGAGCAGGACTTGGGACCCTAACCAGAGAAGCAGCAACACCAGAGATGAAGGCAGAAGTGATAGCATGGAGAGATAGAGCAGCTGAGGACTCTAGACTCATGGAAAGAGAAAGGCTGTGTGCTGGCAACCAGGAGGCAGGCTTGCAGAATGTGCCATTTGGTTGTATAAACGATTATATATTCTTGCATGTTTTTGTGTACATAAAAAAAAAAAAAAAAGGAATAGAAGCAAATACTGTTGAAAGACGATGCACGGAGAGCACTGTAATCATGAAATAAAATACAATAGGTTAAGTGCAAAGCCAATGTTCTTTTCCTGTATAAACTATATCACTCAATTCACAATAAAAACTTGTGTTTTTTTAAATTGCTACTTAAAATGGAAGTGAACAGTGGTGATAGTTGTGATCAGTGTAGCATACCTTACTAATGATATATGTAATTAATGTAACTGAGTGGTACATGTACAATATGTTGTTTAGTAACGTAAGTTTATACCATAATAAATTATTTTTTAAAGGTTAAAAAAAAAAGAGTGGCATTGCCTGGGGACTATATTGTTTTTGTTGTTGTTGAGAAGGGCCATCAAGTCAGTTCCAACCCATAGAGACCCTGTATAGACTTTCCGAGGAGCAGCTGGTGAGCTTGAACTGCCGACCTTGCAGTTCAAATGGCTTTGCAGTCTGGTGCATTAACCCACAGGGCCACACAAGGACTCTTACTCCTACATTATTTATACTTTATAGGGAGTTTCTGGTGTAATGTTGTAGGATAAGCATTGGATTGCTAACCACAAGATCAGTGGTTCAAACCCACCACCTGTTCCTTGGAAACCCTATACAGGCTCACTGTGTGTCAAAACTGACTTGATGACGCCAAACAGCAACAAATACACTGTGTATTTATCATATCATTCCAACTAACATATAGTAAAAGCAGGAATGATATAATAAATACACAGCCAATATATATTAGAAATAATATATAGGAGTATGTCCTGGTGTGGTGTTGCAGGCTAATGCGCTGGACTGCAAAGTTGGTTTGAACTGCAAGAT